CAAAATTAAATACATAATTTAACATATACAGGAAGAGAATCAGTTATGTCTACTACAAATTCAAGAACCTTCCTATCACGCAAACAATTTAAACCCAATACGCCCATCTGGAGTTCGTCTCGAGTCCAGCTAATTTCATTTTAATGTCATATGCATACGACGTGATATCAAACGACGCGTGTCTAGATTTGCTCAACTGAAAAGGAGTACAATATATATTGCTGACGTTAGTCTTTCATCATCACTGGTTGTCTATGTTATAAATCATGCCGAAGTGCATACGAATGCTTGTTGACTACCTGGGGTCTACTCGGACCTCAGAGAGATTCATTTTAATGTTTTGTAATTGTGATCGTAAATAGGATCTTCTTCTCAAAGCTATACCTTAAGAACATCTAGTAGAGTACGCCAGTAACGATAATCAATCATACCAAGTCTATAAAAACAAGGAACGTTACTTCATGAACTAAAAGTTTACAAATAACTAGCATTTTGCTCAAGTTTCAGTTCGAATGAAGAAAGAAATCATGCCGCAATGCAGGAAACGTTCTGACAAGTATGTTTCCTTGCCAGCAAGGAAGTTTCAACATAGTGCAACGTACCTAGAAACATTTCGTTTTCGAAACATTCCTTTATTACACGACAATTATCGTTAAAACAAAAGACATTCTTGTCATAAGTGTAAATGCTTCATATGCAATACTTAATTTCAAAGATTTTGAGAATAGAGAATATGAAGAAAGTAACAAAAAGAAAGGGATTGAATACACACTACTCAAATTAGCGGCTGTTCTATTTGTTCTTATTAGACTCAAGTCTCCTCCAAAGCCATTTTACTGCCATTACAAAATAGTGATACTATAGTGCATCATTTCTATTTTATCAGACTGGGTTCCATACGGACACTAGGTGGTCAACAAGTGGTAGTCTGAAAGGTGGACATATCACTATTAAACGCAATAAATTACATTGCATAATGAAAATGCCTTGTACAAAGCCTCATCTGATTGGTTCATCTACATATTTTTTTAATTTTAAGGTCCCGAACACACCGACTAATTCAAAGTGAATTAAAACTGAATTAACGAATAAGGCTCCGAACAGACAGAAAAAAATAAAACGAATTAACCAACGTGATTGATCTATTTCGATTTAAATCGTCTTTTTGAGACGATTTATTCGTTAATTTAGTTTTAATTCACTTTGAATTAGTCAGTGTGTTCGGAGCCTAAATCGTCTCAAAAAGACGATTTAAATCGAAATAGACCAATCACGTTGCTTAGTTCATTTTATTTTTTTCTGTCTGTTTTCTTAAAATGATTCATTATCAATGATTGATTATCATTTACACAATGCCCGTCAAGCATAACTTTTCATAGACATATATATATATATATATATATATATATATATATTCTACTTTCAGACGGTGACATTATATCAATAATGAATAGTTCATCAAGTATGACTATGTTGCTATTTCACATAATCATTTATTTCTTTCTCTTTTCTTTTTTTCACAGAAGACATTGTCCAACTAGTTGATCTACCTAATGAATTGATTTTAACTATCATGAATAAAGTTAAACCTCATGTGTTATTACTTTGTTCTATTATTGATATTGGTAATAATCGTTTGGAACAACTAGCACTTGATAAATGTCAAGTAATAGATTTAACATTTGATTATCTACAATCACCACATGAATCACTTTTTGAGCGATTTTATTTACTCGTCCTGCCTCGTATCATCAATAATATTCAATCGTTGACACTTCACATTAAATATATTCTCAAAATTATCACTTTTGTTGAAAAAAATTGCGATGGAATTCTTCCAAATTTGACACATTTAAGGATAATGCTGTGCAGACGAAATCCTAAAACAGGCACACCATTTACGTTAGGTAATTATTATTAAGTATATTTTTTAATATTGCTTAAGTATCATCTAAGTTGATTTTCTGCTTAGAAAAAAGAAAAATGTGAAATTTTATAAAATTACCTCTTAAAAGTTGAGATGGATTCTTGTGATGATTTGGAAGAACTAACCATTAGAACCGAGCTACTGAGTCGTCAGTATGATTATATTATAGTAAGAAAAAGAAATGTTTTTTCTTTCTTATATTAATACAGAATGTCCTTTCGAAGGAACATTCCATTTTAAAGGACCACATTTTTCTCAATTCGTGTAAAAAGAGTTTTTTCACAATAATTTTATTTGTTATTACTAAAAAAAAGAACTGAAGCAACAGTTTGTACTTTTTCAAAGTCTACACGCTCTCTATTCCAATATAAGGCTTGCCTAGGGTATTCAGATGATGTTAACATTCTTTAGTCCTTTAAGATCAAATGTCCTTTCCAAGCACCATTTTTTTACGCTATCAGAATGCACTCATTTATCTGTTAAAACTTTATGTGATGGTTTCACTAGTTTGTCTTACGTTCTGCTTAGCCATAACACTCAAAAAAAAAACAAAAATTTACACTATATTCATGAGTAGACAAACTTTTCAAAATTAAAAATAACATTAAAAAAAAATTCTTGAGTTTTGCAAAACTTGCAGCAACTTCTGACAGTAAGTTTAGAAGAGTTTCTTTTACTATATACTCTGTTAGATCTGCAAAGTTCCGACAAATATTGGTTGTTGCATAAATCGCTTTATTACATTATTTATAGCGCCCTTCGCAATTTCTCTTGGAAGAGCACATTCGATTTTTAAGGTTTACGTATCTGAAAATGTCTTGTCGATATTTTGTGCGAAAGAAATTTATGCATTACATTTGTATAGAGAATTATTCATAATGAATTAAAGCAACGATTGGAAAACTTATCACATTGTTTGCCTTATATTATGAGATACAAATGCTTGTCTTATAAAAAGAATTATTTAGAAAATATAGGGAAATCTTTTTTTATTTCATTTAATATTATGAAAAAAAAATCAACAAAACTATTAAAAAATATTGTATTATATCATTTACACACATTTTAGGAAATGGTATTCACAGTATTCTCCGCAATGATCCACTCCTTTCAATTATACCTCAATTTTTTCAACTAAGTGAAACTATTAGTAATCACATCTTATCTAGTTTCGATTCTTCACCATTTATGCGTCCTATTGTATCAAGTGAAGTTGATGATGCCTATATGTTGTCAAATATATTTAATGATCACCAGGTGTTTTTTCCGCAATCAAATCAATTAACTCATATCCGAATAACATTATGTTATTTTGAGGATTGTGTTGGTTTACTTGAACAATTGGGTACACAGCTCTATTTATTCAACGTAAGCATTGTATATGTTAATTGTATCGAAAAATGTCTTGTTCATAAAATACCATCGGTAACTAATATTTCTTTATCGGAAATTTCATTCAATATAATTATTTAGATTTTGTGTCCAAATTTAAAACATTTGACAATAACAGTCTATCGTAATTTTGTTCTCTATAAAGAATGTCTTGTACCTCTTTTACAACGTTTCTCAAATGTCGAATATTTAACATTATTATTAGCTATTGATAAAACAGGATCTATACCCAATCATTTTATTGATGGATATGATTTAGAGGATGACATTATTTCATATATGCCTCATTTATATCAATTTAATTTTCACATTCGTTCTATATTAGAAAATGCTTCAGATGTTGAAATTGATACAATTTATCAAAGTTTTATGAAACAACAATATCAATTTGTTGGTTGTACAGTTGATTATTTCAATAATAATTATGGTCAATGTCAAATCTATTCACTTCCATTTATTGGTACTCGTCTTGACTTTATTTCTAATCGATTTCCACTTTTTGATATCAATAATACATTCTCAATGATTACTATCTTATTACTTTTCGATGATATTACACCATTCGAAAGTGTTTTCTTTGAACGTCTTGCTCAAGCTCTACCTTATCTTAGAACACTTGAAGTATTTAATAACCTTGAACAACAAGAAAAAATAATAGTATCGACAAACAATCTTAAGTTTACTCATTTAACTACACTGATTTTATTTGATATTCATATAAACTATGCTGAACAATTACTTTGTCGAACTTATCTTCCTTGTTTAAACGAACTTGTCATTAATAAAGATATATTGTTAGCAATAATCGCTCAAGATCAACATCAAACAAGAGATAATTTTTCTAGAGTAAAAAGATTACAAACTTCCAAACCATTATATGACTCATTAAATGTTATTCGAAACTATTTTCCATCAAATCCCTATGTACAACATCCGAATGAAGAATAGCAATAAAATTCATGATCTATGGACAAGTATCAAATATTGATGTTGTTAAAGTTTTGTTTTTTCAAAAGTCAATGCAATAAAAACATTGTAAAGATCTATATTGATTTAAATATAATAATGAGAAAATATCCTTTTTTTATTTGATTGAATAATTAGAGGAAGAAAATAGTAATCCTATCATTGACTTTATTGTTTGTTAAGGCGTCCCTTCCCTCAAAAAAAAAAAAAGTCAATTTTCGTGAGAATGTTCAAAATTGAGATAAATGCATGGATAAATAGTTCGTTTTCAGATCTGTCAGATATGATATGATTTTTTACCCAACACCTATTTTTTTGGCTAAAAATTTCGATGACTTCTATCATTTTCCACTTGAAAAATATGCTTTTTTGCGGAAAAAACGAAAAATGTTTTTCGTTTTTTCTCAGTTTATGGTTTTTTGATCTTGTGGTCAAGAATTCCTGGAGAATCTTCAAACTATATAGGTAACTTTTGTTTGTTTGAAAGAGCACGTCCAGATGCCGGGCGCCATAGAGTCCTTTTTTTTTTTTTAATTAAGCTTTGTTTTTTATTATGTATATAGATACTTATATAACTAGACACCTATTTTTGGAGCGTTTTTTGAGTCATTGAACTTGTGATCCCCTTTCTCCGCTCAAAAAGTAAGAATTTAAAAAAGGAGACTTCGTGGTGCCCTGCATCCTGGCATGCTCTTTCTAAAAAAAAAAAAAGAATTAAACATATAGCATGAGCCTGGACCGAGAAATTTTGGACGCAAAATGAGCTGTTTTTGATCCTTGTTTAGTTCATATCTCTGTCAAACGTCACGTTATCGAGCGGAAAATTTTACCATAGCCTCTTCATTACAGTCCCAACATATCCTGAAAATTTCAATCCGTTTCAGCTGTCTTGATGCGAAATTTGATTTTTGGAAGGGGACGGGGGAGGGATAGGAGGCTTTAAAGTGATTTATGTTGTTGGCTTATAGAAATTTGAAACTCATAAAAAATTTGTTAATATAATTGAAGAAGGTTTCTTTTAATAGTTTACACAATCATTTCATTGTTTTATATACAAATTTAGATATTCGTGAAAAATGTACATTAGAAATATTTCAATTGATTATTTATTTATTTCCACAAGTTGAATATCTTAAAATTGAACTCAATAGAAAAGAAATCTATCAAATTATACGATTTTTATTTTCAAAAAATAATAATAAAACATGTCATTTGTTCTTTTTATGTATTTCACAAATACCTAAAGTATGTTTACGACTTAAAACCATAGAATATTTAACTATAATCTTTATTTTCAGTTGAGAGAACTTTTTTCCTTGTAGTCCTGATCTTCGTCACGGCAAATTTTTTTTCTCGAAGTCCTGCACATCTCTAGTAGTAACAGTAACGAATAATATCTAATAGAGAACAATTAAAATAGTTGGAAAAATAACTGCTATACAACAGAGCTGGGCAACTCAATTCAAAAAACGACCAACTCAACTCAATTCAATTCAATTCATGAGCCTAGTTGAATTGAGTTGACAAAACTTTTTCAGAGTTTACTAGTTGAATTGAATTGAGTTGAAACATTTTTCAAAGATATACTAATTGTTTTGAATTGAATTGGATAAAACCTTCAAACATCTATGAATTGAATTGAATTGAGTCGGGGAAAAATCTTAATCAAGGAATTGAATTGAATTGAGTTGGAAAAAAAATATTCTGAGATCATTGAATTGAATTGAGTTGAATTGAAAAAATTTTCAGGGCCTACTGAATTGCATTGAATTGAATTGAAAAAAATCTCGAGAACACTGAATTGAATTGAGTTGAATTGAAAATCTTTTATAGAGATCAATAAAGTGAATTGAGTTGAGTTGAAAAAAAATTCCGAGATCACTGAATTGAATCGAGTTGAATTGAGGCATTTTTCTCGAGATTTTCCAATTCATTTCAATTCAATTCAAAGATATTTCTGAAACTGTTGTTGTATGATCAATTTATGCATCAAGACTAATGAAAGATCAAGGTATAACTATGATCTATTTTTGTAATTTTTCTTCCGAGCTTCTATTTCAACATAGCTGCATCATACTCCCATTTCGATGTATATTTCCGATGCGCTTGCGTCAACCTATCGCTATTTTCTTTTCTTTTTTGATGATTGCATATTATTTAATCATCTAAGCTCTCAACGTATCGATTTGTTTTCCTATTCTTTCAAGTGATAGATGCAATGTACATTTATCCTTAGTCTTATAGGGCAATATCATGCAAATCCTTTGTTTGTTAACTGGTATCTTATCTATTGAGAATGCATACCTCTTTTACTGTATTCTTCTTTTGTTCATTATTGTTTGATTCAGTTATGACCTTCTCTTGTAGTCTACTAATATTGTTGAATAAATACTCCAAATCGTCCTACAGTGGATAATTCTAGTTATAGTTAGACGTGAAGGAAACGAAATACCGAGTTGAGTTGAATTCAATTCAATTCAGTAATAGAATTGAGTTGAAAAACCATTCGTGATCGATGAATTGAATTGAATTGAATTCAGAAAAAACTTTCGAAGTCATTGAATTGAGTGGAATTGAGTTGGAAACAATTTTCAAGATACATGGATTGAGTTGAATTGAATTGGAAAAGTTTTTCAGGATACACGAATTGGGTTTTAAGAAAACTGTCAATCCGCATGAATTGAGTTGAATTGAATTGAAATAGCTTTCCAAGATGTATGAATTGAATTGAATTGAATTGGAATATTTTTTCCAAGATGCATGAATTGAATTGAGTCGAGTTGAGAAAAAATTTATAGTATCTGTGAATTGAATTGAATTGAGTTGAAGTTTTCTTTCAATGAATTGAATTGAATTGACCACCATTTTGAGTTGAGTTGCCCAGCTCTGCTATACAACTAAAAGTCGATCGTCATGACCAGTTATTTCATTGATTAATTCACAAAAAGGAAGATCTTTGTTCTTATCAGATGATTGTATTTTCAAATTAAATAAAAAACAACAACAACAACTGGGAAATATTGGAAATGTACAGTAAATGGGTGTTTAACAAAAATTCCTATGAAGTTGAATAAGCAATTGATCAAAATGATTAATGATCACAATGACTCTGCAGAGAAAGAAAAAATTTAAATACAGAAATTTCGTGAAGATTTTTTTCTGATTTTTTTTTCTCTTGATTTGTGTATAATTTCTGTTGGAACGGTGGTACCCACGCAGACAGAAAAACGCCAAAACACCGTTTTGACGCGTTGAAGGTTAGAATAGAAGAAAACAACGCTTTATAATGCGTTGACTGAACACATGAAAGAAATGACCGCGTTTCAACGCGTTTAACTTTTTGTTGACGCATTTTAACGGGTTGAAAGACCATGTTGGAGCAAGTAACGCGTCTTAATGGGTTGAAAGATGATGAGGGGGCAAGTAATGCGTTTTAACTTGAATAAAACGAAAGCTTTTCATGAAGTTATCTATTTCTCTTATCCTGTTGGTGATAGCGTTAACCAATAGCATCGAACTTCTTTGTTTCGTTGTTACTACAAGACAAAGAGCAACACTCATAACTATTCAGTAATTCCTATTGTTCCTTATTCACTCGATACATATCATTCTATTTATTTCCCAGCATATAAGTTTACAAAAAAGAGATATCTGAATATTTTTTTTCTATAAACTGGCAATTGTTTAAAACTTTCCTCAGGATTAGTAGATCACTGAATCTTAATTTGGAAAAGAATCGATATTAAGAAATGATGACTAAAATTTTACTGAAGCTCCTTTAAAATCCGAAATATAGTGAAGTTCACAAGAAGTAGCTTTTCTTCATGACTCTTCGTCTTTGCCTTTCATCTTCGTAATTACTCTGATTAATTCATAATCACACAACTGTTGCTGAATAAGTAATTGTTTTCTTTACCGTACACTTAAGTTATGAAAAATGACTTTTCAAGAGATACTCTATATTAGCAAAGTGAAATAGTAAGAAAATTGATTTTATTTTTGTCATGAATAGAAGAAATCGATACTTTTTTGAAAAATTAGTTTCATTAAATAGATATTTTAGAATTGTTTGTTTCAATGCGAGATTGGATTATGAAAAAAAAATGAGGGAAATATCAAACATATTACTGAACATCCATCGATGAATACTGTTTATGCCATAATTTATGATCCACGTAAATGTATATGAAGCTTTTTTTATTTTCTATGAAATGATTTTCTTTCGAACAGATCATCTTCATGCTATTAGTGGTCACAATGATTTCAATGAAGCTCTTGGTTATACATTCAACATCAGTGCTCATTCATTTAATGATCTTCATGCTACTTAAAAACCAATGGATGTTAGTTTTATTATTTTTTTGACACATTCAATATAATGTTTTGAATAAAATTTAGAAATTTGGTGAACCTCATGATTTAACATTGAGTGTCGATGGTCGACCGTTATTTGTTGGTGAAATTTGTCCAAATCGTATTCATTTATTTAATGTTCTTGATTAATTCGATTTCAAATCGTAACAACGGTTAACATTTTACTTTTTTCTATTTTCTTATTTCTTTTTTTAAGTTCTGTGAATAAAAAAGCGAACCAACTATTACATTCAATGGTCATGATTTTTCGTTTGTCTCTTTTTGAGACACGTTTTTTGTGTCGAAGTCAAACTTAAGAAAAAACATTCGAACATCTCACAATAGAACGAATTTGTCTTGTTAGTTAAAAGCAAACTCTTACTTAAATTTATTGACAAGATAAAGATATAATGAGAATGTTTTTCAATATCGATATCATATGAAATAATCGTCGAAGAATGATGAAAATAAGAATATTCTTCATTTTTTAAAGTTGAGATTTTGATAACAGACAATTATTCACAGTTGATAACTATTATGCAAGGATGTTGTAAACGGAAACAAGATGATCTGCTACTCATTACCCAGCGACTTAAAAAATGTACGAGATAAAAGTGAGAGATATTAAAAATAGTGAAAGAAATCTGTTGAAATTTATTGTTTGAGAAGTAAAGGTGGAATATGAAGAAGAAAAGGAGTTGATATTATTATCGTTATCACTGAGATGGTTTTTAATTTCAACATCATTCCCTGTTTCAATAGTATCAATCAATAATGAATCAACAACAGACTTTTCATTGAAATGAAGAAAACAGTTTCCAAGGTGTGATCCGAAAACTATCAAATTGTTGTTACATTTGCAAAGTTAGATAAGAAAATAGGATACTTTCTTTTTTTGTTTGTTTCAAAATATCTTTTCTTAACGTCCATAGCTACACAATACACTCGATTTGATTCGATCGAATGTAAATTCTTTCCTTCTATGCATTGTATCTCTATATAGTGTGACATTAACGGATAGAGCAACACTACAAACATCGTATTTTTTTGATTGGTGCACGACCAATCTATGTATAACTTGATTCACAAAAAATGAATCGAGTTGGTTGTTAATAACTGTGAAGAAATTTTAGAACAATTATACGATCAGTCATGCAAGCATCGAGTTTTCTCAAATGAACAAGACTGAGAACCACCAGCAGTTAGTTGTGCCTCCAAAAAAAAAGTTTGAACTCTTCTCTTTTTTTGTCTTTCGGATTTAAGTTTCCATTGTTTTTAATTAATGTTTGAATATTAATCTAGAAATCTGAACTAGCCGGCATTGTATTGACTGTCATTAAACACATAGACGCCACAAACTGATCAAAGGTTAGGTAATGATGAAATTTTTCGGATAACATCATGAGAAATTTTCGTTTTGAATTCAAAAGTAGGCATATGACAGAAAGAATGAAGTCCTTTCGATATACGCAAGACCATGCTCAAGAGCTAGTTCTATTTAAGCGTTACAATCATTTTTCTAATAGTGTCCAATTTTGCTAAATAACCTTTGGTCATTATGCAATATCTCGAGATAAAAGGATTCAGTTATACTGAGTCAACTGATATATTTACCTTTATTTTTAAAACAAATGAGCTGCTTTTGTTTCAGAAAAAAAAATCATTTCTCTCGATCACATACTATTTCATGAGTGCCTAACAAATTTCGTTCATTTTCGATCAGGTGGAGGAGAGTTCCATTTGAATAAATTCATCATTTCTATTGTGGATTGAATACAGGGCATACCTCCATGTGTTACTTGACTATAATCAACGTCATCATCACCATATTCGTCGAGGTCAGAATCATCAAAGGTAGGCATACAACTTCCATTACCGGCAAATTCCAATTCATCTGGTGTAGGTGTATTAAAACCTTTGCTAGTTGTAAGTTTTTCGATCAATTCATTTAATGTCTGTCGTAGATGATGGACAGTTTGTTCATCTTTAAGAAGATCAATGTATGGCACAAAGCAACAATGATCGAGTATATAAACACCAAATGGTGAATCCACTGGAACGATATAATGATCTCGACAATCATAAGATCCTTTGACGCATAGAAATGTCGACGACATTGTTGATTTCATTTGTTGTTCCAGACGATCTCGTGAAACTGGATTCGGTAGTAAATTTTTAAGCATTTCTTTGTTGAACAGAAGAAAGACGACACTACAATCGAATAAAAAAAGAAATTGATCGCATTAATTATGAAGCAATGTTTTTAATGAGAAACAGAAATAGAATGCACAGATACACTATGTCTTCCAGCACATGGTGTATCTGTACACTTTGTTTTCTAGACCAAAGTGTACAAAATGTAGACGAAGTGAAAATTAACAGATTTAGTGCGTATAAATGCCTCTATTTGAGCAATTCAATCGGATGAAGGGAGCTGGAGAGTCTAGCCCGACAAATTTCAAAAAAAGGTATAATTTTCTTCCCGAATTTTGAGAGAATTTTTGCGAGTTTTTCAAAGCTTAGCGGTAAAATCTGCTACAAACTTCGTTTTCAAGCTGTCTCTCGACTTTTTTTGCCGACAAAAAAAATCAAATAGAATCTTTTTCTTTGAACAAAATATCTCAGAAATAGTGTAGTTTTAGCATTTTCTGTTTGATATATACCTGAAAGCCATATGAAAGCACTTTCTGAAAAACCTCTAAACGCTCTGCTAAATTTTTAGCCTGCATGTGCCAGTAAGCATACATCGTACTCTAAAAGACCATCGAGAACCATGCTTTCATTTATTGTTCTGTTGGGCAGTATACATAGTCTTGATCACGTTCAATGGGTAAAATTCTTGTAAACATAGGGGAATGAAAATCTTGCAAAAACGAAGTGTAAAAATAAAATTCAGCGTGTACAGCTTGCATGCTACTTTTTTCAGCGTGTAAAACAATGTGTAAACTCTGTTTCATTAGGGTACCGTTCACTGTGTTTGCGCAGCTACACTCTTTCATTAGAAACTATGATTATGAAGCGTTCATTAAACTAATAAATTTGTCACTGAAATGAAAGAAAGAAACTGGAAAGCGTACTTCTTAGTTCATTCTTATTTCTTTCTTGTACTCTTCTAGTGTTGGAGAGCAAAAAGGAAAAACTAACGACACTCATTCTATCTGCATAATCAAAAGGTTTTTATGCACTCCATCTTTTCAAATGTGAAGTTCTGTTTCTGTTCGAGATTCGTAAAAAAAAGTAACTCACCAATGATAAAACTTGAGAGCTGCTTTTGATTGTTCTTGTTTCGTAAGAATCTGATGAAAATTGTGAAGCGATTCTTCGTTGCCCGTCACATAAAGAACACCATCGATGTTGTATTTTACAAAAAATCGATAAAGACTGTTCAAGAATGGAAAAGAGGCGAGACCAATTTGAAAGTAACGTAGAGCAAGTAACACTTGACGATGATATTGCTTTCCTTTTCGAACGAATATGACGGGATAATTTGATTTTCGTAGAGCAAACTTGAGAAGAGCACAGACTGCTGGCTCTACTGGATATTGGTAATTGGCTGATGGTCGTAAAACGTCTGGATGGAATAGCTCGTGGATATTACCATGATCATCCTATACAAAATAATTAGATAACATATCGACGCAAGCAATCTTAGTAAGAGAGTAAGGGAAAATTCATTAGAGGTTTCGCAACGAAATCTGTATGCTTTTCTCATATTTAAGAATATATATCGGATGTGGGAATAGAAAACAAAATTCCGTCACCAACTGACTAAATACATATTAGATTGATATAACTTCTCATGAAATATTTTAATCATCGCTGTTCTTATCTTCTCATTATTTCGACTACAGAGCGAAGATTTTTGGACAAATTACTCATTCTCTTTGTTACTTACTAGCAAGATATTTGCACTCGGTCGCTCTTAAACCTTTCAAGGGAATGATTCTTAGAAGAAGACTTTTGTTAATACGCATTTGTGAACATCTGGTTACACATATGATTATTTCTCTAATGTTAAATATGCTTACCTGTACAGTTTGATTCACAAGCTCTTTTTCAAATAAATACACTAACATACTAGCCATAGAGCCACCAAGACGTTCTTCAAATTGTGCAGCAAAAAGAAATAGATTTGTAAGAGCTGCAGCAAAATAACATCAAGATGGAGATTGTATCACATGAATTTTTCCAATTGACTGGCTTATGCCTTCGTCCATATTGGGTGGATTTTCTTCAATTGTTTTTAATTCTTGTTCAACGTCGTGCTGATCATATTCATATTTTAATGTACTAATGTTGTATTCATAACCATTTAGTATTAGCCGTTGTTGAAAGTTCAAAGCAAGATAATCTTCAAATGTCATTAAGTACACACCTGGTCGATTACTTGATGAAAGTGAGAGATAGATACGAACTTCATTGTTCAGCTTGATTGGCGAGGGAATGAGAGTGTTGCTAGAAGAAAGCTTATTCATGATCTAATTCAACACTTCTGATTAAGAATAGAATAAATAAATAAATCTTTCTTTCTTTCTTTCTTTGATAATCGATATCCTTTCATGATCTGTTTTTATCTCAAACCAATCAAAAAAACAGATTTCTTTTCTTAGAGGTGAACTGAAATCTCGCGACATCTGCCACGATTGTTTCGAACTTTCGCGAGTGATGCGTGGTTAGAGTATCAAATGAATACGGTCTCAATCCGAATAATATTAAGTACTTGGAAACGTTTTTGTGTTATTGTCAAGATAGCGAAAAGTTACCCAGTCAAAAGAATAATGGAAAAATGGTCATTAGAATGCATTATTTTCCGTAACTAGACTATTTTGACCAGTGAAATATACTTTTAAAGATAAGTTATGGTAAAATGACCGTTAAAATGCATATTCTTCATTATTGAATCATTTTGACCATTTCATAATTAAAAAGTCTATTTTTTCGAAATTTCAAGTTGATATAAAGCATGTTTATAGTTTCTAAAAATTATCATTTTTTTAAAAGACTGCCTATTAAACCTTCATATTTTGCATAACATTCAAGGATATGATTCGAAACTCACACTAAAAGCCAATAGAAACTTTCAATTCCCTTAAGTGAAACATAAAAGTAATCAGAAATAGCTAGTTTTTTCATCGTTTTTAATAATGAATTGAATAGTCTTGAATAGGAAAGAATTGTACTTTTCAAAAACCCACTGAATTTAAATTTTTTTGGTTAATATCAAATACCTGTACTTGAACATAGCATTCTACATTTTTTTGAAGACAATGTATCTTATGTTTATCCATCAAATGCGTGATACATCATAGGCAACTGGTCTAGCAGTATTCTTTAACTCGTAAACAATGAAAATGATTCCAAGTCATTGATGTAAATGAGGTTAGTGAAGATATAGTGGAACTGAATTTGAGTTTCACCTTCTCTATAATTGACTAAGACCAATATTTCGATCATATTCTAGAGCTGCACGTGAATAAAATTCGACTTCCATTTGAATGAAATTATATAGTTGAAGTTTGAAATTAAATTGTAATTCTTATACACGAAACACAATACAAGAGATAAAGCTAAAAGTTATTCATTTTCATTTAAATCAAGTCACGGTCACAATTATTCTTCTTATTGAGATTGTTTGTTAAGTTAAAATAGTCAGAAAAAAAATAGAGATAGTTAATTTTTGTTTGACAATAGTCTGTAACGAAACGGCATGTTCAAT